AGAAGAGGATCACCCAGTCTTCACTTGGCATTCCCTTATTTAGGAATCCAAGGATGCAGAAAAATGACCTTATGCTCAGTTGCCAGTGATGTATTATATATAAATCAGAGCCTCTGCCCTAACTCTCCTGCAAACATATACACTGCAAGCCCTGTCTAGGGTGTATTCCTGGGCATATAAACTTCATATTTGGTGATGTTAAAATACTATCCCAATCAACAATCCAAATGGTTCTGCATCAGCAATATACTACCCTACTGATTACACTCTCATCAGTATAATCTCCAAGATCACCAGTAACTATCTCTTTCTTGATCGCTCACTAAAAAACATCGGACCAAGAACCAAATCACAGGAACATTTGAGTGTTAATTCTCTACTTAACGTTTCCCAGTTTGAAGCCTGCAGACAATTTTTGTATAGCTAAATTACAGAAAAACTAATATGGTATACATTCTAATACAAAATGACAAATGAAACATACTGCAAGATTTAACAGAAAAAACATCATCTGCTTTTCTGAACAAATTCTAACTAAAAAAGAGGGCAAAAAAATTTGTCACCACCCATTTTCTCTCCACCCATATTGATCAGTATTATATTATTCTCCCTTAATTTTTAACTGATTGATTTCCAAGTCAGATGTTTTATTGTTTACTGTATGCAGTACCTTTTCATATTTAAATACCTGTGTCATCCAATTCACCTTTCAAATACTGGCACAGCATTTGCTTTTCCAGTCTTGTAGCACTGCAGTGCTCTAAAATTATTAAAAATATCAACAGCAACCTGAATAGTTTCTTAGAAAGCCCTTTGAAAACTCTTTGATGCCTAAAAGAAAATTCAGGGAGAAAAAACTCCAAGACAATTTAGTTTTGAAGGTGAGATAAGGAAAGGATTTAATTTGTACCTAGGCATAAAGCTACAAGATGTGAGCATGCCTCTCTGCTATAGATGTTACAATTTATAATACTGCCTGTCCAATCCCAGATTTTCCACCCTCGGCTTTTGCCCTGGTCCACCCTCAGTCACGCCTCTTGGGAACTGGGTCTGGGGTCTCTGAGACCCTCTCTTCATCATTCTTCATCTTTTTCAAGGTACAGGGGGCACATAGTCATCTAGTTCTTGACTGTACTCTGTGGTTTAGGCCAAAGTACGAGTGTTCTCTAAACAGAATAGGCCTACCTTGACAAGAGACTAAACATTTGCTAAAGGAATTCAGGGGATATTTGATATGGGGAATTGGGGTAAAAGGGTTGTAGTTACTATGCTAAAGGTAAGGGAATAAGTGCTGCTGCTTCTAAAACCTACTTATAACTACTTATAAAACTTATAAAAATTAGAAAAATAAAAAAAAACAGATGGACCTTAAGCCATCACTTGAATGCAAATTTTTCAGACTTGCTGATTTGAAAATCTTCAATTTTAATTACTATGTATGTTACTACATAACAGCTTCAATGGCTGTTAATCAACATCTGGAGATATAACTGGAATGAGAATATCTATGCTACCAACATCGTGAAACAGGAGCTACTGAATGGTTTAATTGTCCAATGACCTGGCCAATTTTCTGTGTTATGACATTAAATGGCAAGTAAGCTGCCTCAATAACCCAAATGGATTTCATTAACATGGCTTCCTAATACACATCTAAAATTCTCTGTCTTATAGCTGAGTTTTCTCCTCATATCCTTTTGTACTGTAATAAATAAAAGTAGCTGTTTTCTGTAACCCAGGTTATTTTCACTGACAGCAGACTGTCAGTGAGGTTGGTACTCTTTGGATAGGTAAGCTGAAACATTGGTAAAGCACCAACTTTTCTGTAGTGTGCTCTGGACCTGAATTCTCAGTTCCATGGCACGCTCAAGCTTCCAGACCAGGAGGTTCAGGAAGAGGGTGGAAACTGAGCGGGAGTGACCTTATTTTCCAAAAGGAAATTTGTAGGGCAGAATGAGGAGCAGCAGGCTAGCCTCTTCCTCCTTGGTTTTGTTTTTCTATGTAAGTGATAAATACCAGCACTGCATTTTCACTGTCTCCAGGATGGCTTGTCTGACCGAGAAGACACTGAAAAGCTCTGTGGATTGCCCTTTGGTGCAACCCAAAGGGTGACTAACTTGGAAACTGAGTACTACTACAGCCACTCTCCTAAGTGTGTGTAAGGGTGCTTAGTATATTTTCTGGCTTAATATGGAACCAAAACAATATGCTTTCAATTGCTGGATTCCAGCACTATTCCTTACTTGAATGGCCAATCCCAGCATACAGGTGACACTGATAATCTGTGAAGCAGCAGTCATTTCAGGATTGCTAGCTACACACATCGGCAAGTGGGACACTTCAGCTGGATCGGGCAGAAACAGACAGTTCACTCACAGCAAGGGAATGCACCCAGCAACAAGTTACTCTGTCTCAGTACAAGCTGGAAGGAAGAAGATCTGGGATGCATTTAGCATATCTCAGCTGTCACACTGGTACACAACAAAAAAAGACTCTCAAAGCACAAAAATGGTCAAAGTCTCGAACTTGATTGCAAGAAATACTTTCATATCTTTGCCAAAATGAACTTCTGGATGATCTTCCAGTGCATGGACAAAAAGACAGAAAAAAGGAAATCCAGCATAGCTACACCTTCAAAAAATAGTGAGCTATATGAAACTGCCCCACTAAAATTACAGGCACGACAATACCATATGTATCACTGAGTGCACAGGAATAACCATGGCTTTTTTGAAAAGTCTTGTAGTATGGCACAGAAAGTGGAAAATTTTCACCAAGAAATGCCAGGCTTTAATTTTGTATCACAGATGACTGTCAGCTGAAGTGAAATAAAGTTACACGGGTTTGTGGTGATGAAAATTTTACAGCAGCTCTAAATTTTTCAAGTCTCAAAGGTTTAAATGTAAATATTCATGAACTCCACAGAGTATATTTTCCACATCAAATTCATTTTGAATATTTTATCATACAAACTACTGGAACGATTTTGCATGATCTTTCAAAGAATACTAACTCGTTCACCAAAGTGGAAAATTTCAACTGCAAGAGTTAGAACACTGAGAAGATGATGAAAATTTAAGTAAGCAGATACTGTTCTGTAACTTCTGTCTCTTAAAGTGTAGACAGCTTAACTGGCCATGGAAAATTTATTATCTTTTACAAATCCCTGCTCTCCTTGTAAACTCCTGTTCACCTGTGCCAGGACTCTCGTAGTTCAGCTTCAGAGTATTTCAAGTTCACTGTGTAAGATGCAAGCACCACAGAAATCATTCTCTTAGAGTTTAACAGACTATAAGATGCTTTAATACTGTAGCTATGCCCGATCTAAGCCCATTAAGTAAATTTTCCATTACTTGACAATAAACTAAATTTGAATGGATGTCTCCTGTAACAGAAAAAAAAAATCATACTTGAAACTAATTGGCTCTTTCATTTTCTCAATTATTAATTCAATAACCATGAAAGGATTTAATTTTGAAAAAAAATCCAAATGTTTAAAAATTAGAAACTAGTTGAAATTCCTTCAACTGAAGTTATGAACATATCCATCATATCAAAGAGTTAAAAACAAAACCATGACTAATTCCTGATAAATCAAACCTAATGAATAATATCTGCTTAATATATCACATACAGCAGCAGAAAAATTTAGTGTGTAAGTGCTAGAGATACCCTGGCAAGAAAGAAAGAATAGAAAGTAAAAAAAAAGTGCATTTATTTGCGCTAGATTCAGTTATCAATTAATAAAATATGATAGTGATTACCCTGCAGTATCAATAAACAGCCTTAAAGACAGTGGGAGCAGTAGAAATATTTAGAAATAGAGCAGAAGAATTTACATAAGAATAATTGCCTTTCCACTGCTAATCAGGCAAAACAGGACACATCTACCTGTAAAATGAAAAATACATCTTGAAAAAGATGGGACCTCCTCTCCAGATCTAGCCCAAGGTAAGCGTTTGCTTCCACCTGTGCTGGGAAATGCATGCTGTGGCTCCCGTCCGTCTGCTTCCCCAAGGAAAGGCACACAGAGATGTGTGGAGAGCTTTCCCTTTCCTGCTCCAAGCTGCAAATGTTTAAAGGGGAAACCTTTTTTTAAGAGGCAACTGAGAGAGAGGCTTAAAGCACAGGAGGGAAGACAGCCATTCGATTCCGACGATGTTTCGCCTCCCCGCACTCAAGTGTTGCTAAGCTATAATGTTATGTGATGTTCAAAGCTATCTCTAGGCACACTAACCCTTTGTTCCACAGGGCAGCTCAGTTTTTCTATCAAAAAAGAACAAACTGATGCTAGACAGTCTTGATGACTTAAAAGCAATCACAAAGATAAACAGTAAATACCCCCTCCAAAACAGTTTTTGTCTGTGGCACACAGAAAGGCAGTAAGCAAAACCTAATCAGGCTGCAGCTCCTTGTTGGAATATCCTGTGTTGGTGAGGATATTCCCTGTGACTGCAAATGAGAGCTTTCACCAAAAACTTAAAACAGTCAGACCAACGAGCCCTAAGCATCACCTCCAGAGTATCTTCTGCGGAAACATCTCACTGCTGTGCACGTGTCCAACAAATGAGTGTCATGCATGTGCACACATTCCATAGATGACAGCCCCCTTGTACAGACAGGGACACCTTTCCTTTCAGTATTGTCCTGCTGTATGCATCAGATACTATACTCATTACCAAAAAAAAAAAAATGTCAAAAGAGGCCTTGTGAAAATTAAAATCCTTGAAACACAAATGAAGCTATCTGTTTAACACCTTAAGCACTAAATACGATTTGGCTAGCTGATACTACAAATATATCCTCAAGTATTAAAGATAAGGTGTCATTTAGGACAGTAGTATGCATTTCTGTGGATAAGCCCAGAAGCTATGTAAACTTCTTAAGACTTAAAGAAAAGAAGGAGACAAACAGTTGTTATACCCTTCTTCCCTTATACAGTTAAATGCAAATTCTCCTTTACAGTCATATTCCTGCTATCACCCTGCACACACAGCTGATACGCCACCTACTGCAAACCCAAGCTGGCAGTCAGAGCAATGCTAGCAGCATTTCCATTCCAACATCGTTCCGGAGCTGAATAAAGGTGCTTTTTAAAAAGAAGCATCCTCTTTACAAGCTGACAAAAACAAAGCAGGATAGCTGGCTTTTTTTCTCAGCTTCAATAATGGAGAAAAAAGCAAGCAGAAGAGAAAATGAATGCGAAGAAAAAAACAGCAACTCTGAAGGCTCTGAGCAAGACAAGGAATATAAAACGTCTCTGATTACTCTGAATGTTGGTGGTTATCTATATATCACACAAAAACAGACACTAACCAAGTATCCTGATTCGTTTCTGGAAGGGATCATAAACGGAAGAATAATGTGTCCATTTGATGCAGACGGTCATTACTTCATAGACAGAGATGGACTCCTTTTCAGACACATACTCAACTTCCTACGAAATGGAGAACTTCTTCTACCAGAAGGGTTTCGAGAAAATCAACTTTTGGCACAAGAAGCTGAATTTTTCCAGCTTAAGGTACTCTCGGATGCAGTGAAATCAAGGTGGGAGAAGGAACAGCTAGCATCTCGAGAGACTACTTTCCTGGAAATAACTGACAGCCACGACCGTTCACAGGGACTCAGAATCTTTTGTAATGCTCCTGATTTCATTGCAAAAATAAAATCCAGAATTGTACTGGTGTCTAAAAGCAGGCTGGATGGATTTCCGGAAGAGTTTTCAGTATCTTCAAATATTATTCAATTCAAGTACTTCATAAAGTCTGAAAATGGTACACGACTGGTACTGAAGGAGGATAACACCTTTGTCTGCACCTTGGAAACTCTTAAGTTTGAGGCTATAATGACGGCTTTAAAATGTGGATTTAGACTGCTGACCAGTCTGGATTGCTCAAAAGGGTCAATTGTTCACAGTGATGCACTGCATTTTATCAAGTAATCACAAAGGCAAAGGACACAAGCATGCAGCCAGTAAACCTCCTTCAGCTGCAGCCTCCTGGCATCACAAATAATGTATCTAACTAGCCTTGTACCACAGAGCTCAGCTGCTAATCAACTGATGTGAGCTAATGGTATGTAAATCTCATAATGACATCTATCTCTGGCTTACTTAAGCTGAATGAAAATTTTATGTCTGAATTTAATAAAAATTACCTGTTAACATTGTAAACACAGATTGAATGCTTTATGCTCTTTGTAATATGTTTTCCCACTGCTGTCTTTCAAGCAGAGTCTAGCTGAATTTTTATGTACCTGTGTGACTAACATGCATACACCTAACTGCTCTGTTGAACAGCAGTGGCAGTATTTTCACATAATAAATAGGCTTAAAATATGTTTTGCTTATAACAAATTTAAAATGGATTTTAACTGGAATAAATGATTTTGACTGTTCATTAGTGTTTATGCTAATCTATTGTACTGCATTTGCAAAAAACAAGATTGCAAGAGAGTTTAAAATTAATCAACTTGATTTTAAATGATTTCTCAACTCACAACCAAGTTTATACTATGTTATTACACTAATAACAATTGCCAAAAAGATGTAAACCAACAAAATAATGCTGGGGGAGATTCATTCTATTATGGGAAACGAGTTCAATCTGCACAGAATGCTACATTTTCTAATATATATACATATCAAATGGCTAATAAAAATATTTGACATAAAGCTAAATGTAACAGGTTTCCAGTAATGACATCCTACAATGCTATAGTCACTATTTCCTAGCAATCATTTGTGCTCATAAGGACAGGCAATTACCAGAGCCCTTGCTTTGCACAGTGGCTTACTAAATGCAACTAGTACTATCAGTTTTGAATAGACCACCTGCTGGCATTTAAGATTATTCACTCTAAGTAATAGAGTGAATAAACCTTCATTCTCCTCATCTCCACTATTTATCAAATATTTTCATTTATATTTTAAACAAAGTTGTAATAGCTTCTATAGAACAACTGTAACTAATTTAACCACAGGCATTACAAAGCAGTCACTTCACAAAAGCAAACTGAAAAATCATCACAAAAGGCAAAAAAAAAGCTTCACTAAATCTAAGTTTAAGCTTTGTTTGTCATTGAACACAATCATCATTCACAGCTCATATGAACCCAAAATTCAGGTAAAATGCTAATAAAAAAATAAAAAAAAGAATAAAAAATAAAGAAATAAAAAACCCAACCAAGTAGTTCTCCCAAAACATCAATTTTGTAAAGGAAAAAAATACTAAGAATGTCAACAGAACGCAGTACAATCTATAGTAGAAGCGACAACCAAGAAAAACAGCTAACACAAGACAGGCTGAGTTTTGTTTTGGATTTTAGAGGGAAAAAAATCAATCCTTAGTAGTACTGACTACAAATATAAATGCAAGGTCCATTTATCCTTCAACATGAAACTGTTTCACTTGTAACATACAACAAGTGTTGCTAACTAGGTTCCTTGCCAGACATGAACTAAGACGGGGACTCCACAACTCCAGACCAGGCAGCAGTGACTGAACCATATTCCAGTATGATTTTAACAAATGGGAAAATTCAACCTCTCCAGAATACTCCCTCAGAATGAATCCACTGTCTAGAAATGATCAAGTTTTCTAATCTAGTTCCCACAGTACAGACTTACAGTTCATAAAAGATGTGGTTCTCAGTGGAACTTTTCCAAACTCAACTACCTAAAAATCAGATGGCTCTACATTTCAGGTATACAAGCTGAAGAACTGTCCATGTATCCCAAAACTTTTCTGAATTTGTCCAAATGCATTAACTATCTACAAACAAAAGGTATAATATAGTAAAATACTATTCTTTACATATGCTGTCAACGTGCCATCCTTCTCTCCTCCCCCTCCAAGTTCTTTTCTAATTGATATATTAAAAAAAAAATCCTCATTAACCACTAATCTTGTGCTTATAAGAATCTGTAGAACTTCTGTGAAAATAAACGTGAAAGCTCCCCTAAAGGAAATCCAAAATCCTGCTGATCTTCTAGGACAAGATCAAGAAACACCATCACACAGAACGATTACAAGAAAAGGCCTTTGTAGACACAATTCTCTACATGAGCAAGAAAAAGTGACATGACAGTCTAAAAAAGCTCCATAACGAATCTACAAGTTTTAAAGCAGCACACTCTCAGTGCTGTCAAATACACAGCCTGCATCAGCACGAAGTGGAGGAGGTTGTTGCTCCTAGGATGTCAAATCATCCATTTTCACTTAAATGCTTGTGGTTATAACCTTCGTTTGTAATGGATCTTTGACTGACATTTAAAACGTCATTACAGTTGAAAAGAAAAACAGCCCAAATCAATTTTGATTTCAAACAATTAATATATGTTAATTAAAATATGTTGTGGTTGTTCACCTTTCAGTTGGGCTCTTAGGATGCCAAACATCAAGGAATCAATCCTTAGCACTTTATATCAGAAAGCAGGACCTGTACTTTATCAGAGCATGATTTCACTCATGAAAAACCAGTAGAGAATTTGATAGGTCTGCATTTGTTGTAGAAAATACTTTTTGAATGAAAGTTATTCATAAACTGGTAATCACAGGTAAAATGCAAACCATCTGACACATCTTCTAAGAATATTCTATACAATAGTCTATCATAAAAGATTTACAGAAAGCCTTTATTTGTCAGGTTTCCAGTTCAGAGTATCTACTGCCCTCTTAACCTGTGAAAGAGAACTTGAAACCCTTTTTTTTAAGTGAAAAATGTACAGCTCTAATCATTAGTAAAAATAAACACCTGTGTTGTTTGGTTGGTTTGTTGCCTTTTTTTTTAAATTCAATGACTCATTACGTTACACACTTTTAACTTGTTTTTTTATATTTCTGTGTAAATAACACTGACATCTATGGCATACATGTGAAGTCACCTGCTGTAACACTAACTCCAGTGTTGTCGTCATTTCTCCAAGTGTTAGGGCTTGAAATTTTTACACACCATCTCTGATCAGAGGCACCTCACTCAGTTCTTTGAATTACACAGCAGAAAGGAACATAGAGTAAAAAATTCGTTCTTTTCCCTGTTCACATTGAACAAATCCACAAGTATATTGAATATATCAGCTGCCATATCAGCTACAGACACTTCAAAGTACTTATAAACTTGAGTAATTTTTCAAACTAGGGTGGAGGCGTGTCTTGCTTTGAATAAAATGATCACATAAAATCTCCATACTGTGAATAATGTTTCCTTTTTACTCCATAAAGATGTTAAATAAAACTTAAATATATTTTGCATATGTTGTGTCAGTCCGGTGGATACTTGTGTTCCACCATAGTAGGGTGTGCCAGAAAAGGTACCCAGTTATACCTCAGCTATCTCTTCAGTCTTTTCTTTAAGGCTGGAAATTTCAAATTCAATAACTACCATGACAATAGGAAAGCTGCAAAATCAAGTGCTTAAGTCAGAAATACCAACAGTTGTTCTAACAACATCCTTTAGGACACAATGTGCATGCAAAGTATTTCCATTTCTCTTTCTGTCATTAAGACTTGGATCACTATGAACTTACCAGAACTCTCCTGCAAGTATCAGGAACGAATGACAATTATCAAAATTTATCCAATGATCTTCAACTGTTTGGCTATGAGTAAAAAGGAACTTCCACCCCTCTCCCCAAGGAAGCACTTAACCTGCTCCCAGGCTTGGTCAGCTCCACTTGCCTCCTGTCCATTTTCTTGGGTGAGAAAAGGGGCCACCAAGCAGAAAGGACAGAGGTAGCTGAAGGTAGGACCCCCCCTCAAAAAAAAGAATATCCTTGCCCCTATGAATTCCTTGAATGACTGCTCATGGAAAAATATTAATAGTTGCCAAATTGACCAAAATACTGACACTTGGATGCCCATCTTTCCCCACTGGTAGAGGAGAAGCCAAGGGCTCCTTATCACACTTGACAGTACACTGGCATACGTACCAACTGCATGGATTTCTATATGAGGACAAAACTATGAGGCTGCACTACACCAGACTAAGGTCTGTTTAGCCCAGTGTCCCCTGGTCATTGTGAACTGTTTCTAACCCCTGAGCCTTTCCATCTCCGGGCAGAAATCCCCATTTTTGATCCTTTGACCCTCATATCTTCCCCCTTGTTCTCTCCTCCCATCATACAACGACTTTTCATTTTTCTTTCACCAGGCCATTCCTAGGGATGCCTAGGAAAGAATATAAAACCAGAAAAAACATATATTATGTCCCCTCGAAGTTTTGGTTTCTAGGGGGAGCCTTGATGCTGCGAAATACACAGGCTGCACAAAGTCCAATTGCAGCTCCAACTCTGTACCTCCAGTTCTAGCTCACCCACTGGCCAAAGTTTCACAGCACCATAATTGCACTACTGACATTTTCAAACACTCATGTCTTATTTCTTTTACTATTTGTACCTATTACAACTGTTTAAGTGACAATTAGTCTCTTCTTTTCTACAGTGGGTAATGCCCCTCTAGATCATAAACGGAAAAAAAATTACATCATCATTTGCAGCAATCAGTGGTATTATTATTTTCACTTTTAAAAGCATTGCAAGGTTTCCATTCAGTAAGATGAGAACAGCTTGAGAAAATTATCTTCCTTCTCCACTCCCCATTAGTATACAAGCAGAATAATGGCAGGCAATAAATAATACAATTTAATAAGAGTAGTAGAGCATCTTATCTATTTTGGGTAGAAGGGTCATGTTGCCCTTACTCTGTTGATTCAAGAATCAGGATCGGGGATGAAGAGGACATGTTAACTTGGGTATATAACACAATAAATATTATCTTCCTAGGCTAGATCATCTTTGCTAAATAACTATTACATAATCCTAATTTTGTCTCCTGCCCTGCAACACAGGGCAGATTCATAGGAAAGTGACTACTAGTTAAAAACCTGAAGGAATTTTTATACGAAGAGAGAGGCTTGCATAAACCACTGGGTTGAAACAAAATCAATAAATGAGACACAAGAAATTTAGGATCAGAAAAAATAACATTATGGGGTTTATTTACTTTTGAAATAGACACTAACTCCTATGCAGTGGTATATCACAGAGAACATTGTCTCAAAACACTGCCTCTGCAAATCATCATCATTCACAACAAAATGCCAGAAAACAAGCAGTGTGGCAAGGACTGGGGAAGCTAGGAGGAAGATGTATGATGATACCTGAGGAATGTGGATGAGCAAGCACTCAGAAAAAGAAACTGCAGTTGCCTTTCTTTCTGCAAGAAATTGTGTAATATTCTGTAGAACTAAACAGTTGATTGCTTTCCCTAAAAACGTGTATAGTAGGAGTATCACACACAGCTAATGCAACAGTCTCCCAAGAAGCTGTTTCTACTGGCGCTGGTAACAGTTGAACATCATTGCCATTACCATTTAACCCCATGTTTGTTCATTTTAAGCTTCAGAAAAGAATACTGCTTTGCCAGTCCAGAAACAAAACTGTTCACAAAGCTGGTACAACAAATATAGGCTGTAAACAGCATCTACTCATGTAAAACACTATTATGACACAATGATATGCAAGTTCAACATGTTAAGATTTCAAAACCAAGTAGTTAGAAGATGACTGTTATAAATTGAGTCATTCTGAATGTCTGTAAACTTCTCCTGGTAATGCTAAAAATTACAACAATATTGGCTTGTTTGTTTGCAAATTTTGCCAATGGTATGACTTTGGGGGACATAACCTTGGTTTACAGAGAGTTCAGGAAAGCCATCATCCTTGTGGTCATTAAAGGGGCATTCCACTAGTTCCACCCCAAGCATTATTTCAATTATGTGAAAAGCTAGATCTCCATGCTTTTCCAGGATACATCTTTTTTTTTTGCCTTTGCCACTACCCCACCCCAAGCTTTCAGCAGCAGCTTCGTCCCAGGCATGGAAAGCCTAGACAAAAGGCAGCATAAGACTTTCTTGCTCACATCTCCTGAAGAGAGATTTGCCATTGTGTGTAGGGGGGTGGCACTTCACCTGTTGCAGAAGAACAACAAGGAGATGAGAATTCTAATTTAAAAACCCAAGGCTGCTTGCTGGGGAAACACCCCAGAAAGATGAGGTCCAAGGGACTTGCTAGAGGTCTGATGATCAGGGAAGTTTGCAGTGCTGGACTCCCTGAGCTGTGAGGATGGGTAGAGAGCAGTGCAATGAGAGAGCCTACAATACCTGAGCACTATTAGATGAAAAGGAAGGGAACTGGTGTTACCTGAGGGTCTTGGGTTTATGCAGAAGGCAGATGCCCACACAGTACAACACTGAGGTTGTACAAGTAAGGTCTAATAATCCTGGAATTAACAAAGTAATAACGGGGAAAAAAAGTTTTTAAAAAATTCTCTTTTGACTTTTCATATATCAGGTTTCAAAGAGGCAATTTTCTGTATTGTAGCAGAAGTCAGAGGAATTAACTCTTAAAACTTTGTTAATAGAAAACTTTGAGCTACAAATCTACTGCTGCAGCTCCACAGAAAGCTGCTTGTTAGCTCCTAGGGGGTTCTTGATTTTGTACCATAGGGAACAGATGAAGTGAAAAAAAAAGAGCAGGTCAGAGAAGGGTACAGACTTTCTCAATCAGGAAGAAAAAAAATAAGCACACAAACTAGCAATGAACAGGCTAAGCATCAGAAAATGTAAACAGAACAAACAACTGTTAACAGCAAACCCAGTCATTTATTGCCTCTCTACTACTTAAAGAAAGCCTTTGGCAAGTATTAGGGATAAAGCAGTACATTTTCTCAGTGCTGAAACTGGTAATCTCAGAGGAGACAAATTAAAGGTCCTGCCAGGCAGGTTGATAAGAGTCAGCTGAACAGAGAAAAACGTGCTCTCAAGTTAGGAGTCTTATCAATACTAATGTTATCTAAGGCCTGCAGCATTGCCAGGTCTTGTGGTATTTCCAACACATTTCCAACACATTTTCTAAAATGAACTGCAATAAAGTTCTTTCCCAACATGAAGAAATGTAACATGTAGGCTATTTTATGCCTTCTAATATGAAGTCCACCTCCATAACTTTTCTGCCATGCAGAGATTATGATTTCTAGGTTTGCCAACACAGTACAGGGCAAGACAACCTGCATGAGCAAGACAATGTGCTGTAGCACAGCTACACACTGTTCCTGTTCCTGTATCACCACTGATATTGGCAAGATACTGGGGCTGAAAAAGCCTTGTAAGCTCAGGAAGAGCACCAAACGAGCTCTGACAGACTGTGTCCAGACTGAAACATACAGAAAGCTCAGCTTCTACTGCACTACAGCCTACAGTGTTCTTGTAGCTGCAGTCAGCAAAGGCAGAAATAAATTACTCTTAGAAGAGCTGTTCTTGCCTTTGCCTTCATTGCCTTCCCCCAGAAAAGCTACTTGCATGGCTAAAAAGAAGAAAGAACTATCCCTGCTGGAACTTCTGTAACAACAGAACAGAACTAGGGGGAAGGCGGGCAGGGACAGGACAGGAGAATAAGAGCCTGAGAGTAAGAGAACTGTATCAGACTAAACGTCTGCTGCTTTGCTCAACATCATGACTCCAGCAGCACAGCAGTCACAACTGAATATCCACAAAGAAGTGCAGCCGTGTATGATTCACCTACTGGGTATGTATTTCAGTGTCCACCTGGCTTTTGTGGCTCGGGGTCTATTAAATCCAATGTCTTCTCAATCTTAGTACGATTTGGTGGACTTTAATTGACAAGAAGCTCAAGGTAACCCAGCAATGTGCACTCGCAGCCCAGAAAGCCAACCGTATCCTGAGCTGCATCAAAAGAGGGGTGATGAGCAGGTCG